GGTTTGGCCAACTAGATTGATTTATCTTGCCATGGGAAGAGGTGCTTTGTGATGGGTTTGATGTTGCGGCGCTCAATCTCAGTGACAGAAAGATACATGACATATGCATCATTGCAATTAAGGGTAACAAGATGGGGTTTATTCATACGTGAGTTTATCTTGTCTACGTTATGTCATCTTTCTTAATGCATTACTCCGTTTTCCATGAACTTAATACACTAGATGCATGCCGGATAGCGGTCGATGTGTGGAGTAATAGTAGTAGAATAGGCAGGAGTCGGCCTACTAATCTTGGACGTGATGCCTATATACATGATCATTGCCTTGGATATCGTCATAATTATTTGCTTTTCTATCAATTGCCCAACAGTAGTTTGTTTACCCACCATATGCTATTTTCTCAGGAGAAGCCTCTAGTGAAAACTCTGGGCCCCGGTTCTATTTCCTATCATATATTAAAACCAAAAATACCTTGCTGCAATTTTATTTTATTTATTTTATTTTGTATTTTTTGTTAGATTTATTTACCAAAACCTATACAATTTAATCTATCTCAATACCGTTGAGGGATTGACAACCCCTTCACGCGTTGGGTTGCAAGTATTTGTTATTTGTGTGCAAGTGTTGTTTACATAATGTTGCTTTGGTTCTCCTACTGGATTGATAACCTTTGTTTCATAACGGAGGGAAATACTTACCTCTATTGTGCTACATCATCATCTCCTCTTCGGGGAAGTACCAACGCAGATTACAAGTAGCACATGGCCACGTCGACGCCAGGCGCCTTTCCCTTGTCAGCCTCTGGGTTAGGCGGGTTGGCCCTCTCATCGTCATCCAGCTGGATGACCTCGGGTGGAGCTACCCAAGCGTTTGAGTAAGATAAATTAGTGAAGTTCGGTCGGGTAAGACATGGACGTCATAAACAGTCGGTGTGAGAATACCTTTGGAAGTGGCGGCATCCGCTGCATCTACATCACATTGGTCCTGCTTGGGCGCATGCAGATCCATTGACGTCGTCGAGGTCTCGTTGCTGCAAGGTTCAACAACACTCGGGCGTTAGCCGAGTCAAGATGACAATAAACGAAGGAATAGCAAAGACACTTACGTCGAGGCCACCAACACTGTCACCTTGATCCGAGGCACCACGGCCTTCCGAGGCTTGGAGGCGGTTTGCTTGGGCTGCTTCTCGGCGGAGCTCTCCGCCTTTGTACGCACATACTTTGTGCCGCGGGTCATCCGCCCCGAAGCAGTCAGCCGCTGGGCTCCTCCCGCTTTGCCGCTCGGACCATGCAGCGCCTTGGAGCGGGGTTCCTTCGTGGCCTCATAAGATGGAGAGGACTCGGCCTCCTCGCCGTCCCATAGCTCTCATCCTTGCCACTTTCATCGTCATCGGTCCCCTCCGAGTACTGAAGGTCGGTGTCACTCATCACATCCTCGGGTGATCGTTCAATCACCAAAATATCAAAGATCATGTTTTGGAAATCCTGTGAGGACAAACATATCACAACACCAGAATCAGGTACACGGGAAATAACATATGGACTGTCCGACTGAACATACGATGCATACCTCGACTGGTGGCTGATCCTTGGAGTATGGAGGCACTATCCTAGCCCCCCCTTGGGTTGTCTCGGGAACAAGTGATCACTCGTATCTTGGCCCCCACGTCCTTCTCAGCGAGCTCCTTCGGATGCACCCGAGTGGGATTGCTCAGCCCCTCATAGAGCCACATGGGGTGGGCCCTGGCCTGTAGTGGCTGTATCCGCCGAGTGAGGAAAGTCTCCAGCAGATCCATACCATTCATGACAGAGTTCACGACCCCAACAAGGGCGGTGGCCAGGATGCCGACCTCCGCCTTCTCCTCTTTCATCACCAAAAGGGACTCGGGAGCCCGCACCCTCTCTGCCGAACACGGGGAAAGACCCAACTGGTTGTTGGCACCAGGGACGTCTTTGCACTAGAACCAAGTTCCCTGCCACCCCTTGACTGAGTCGGGAAAACTCATCTTGGGGAAGGCGCTTCCGTCCCGGAGCTGAATTCCCAGACCCCCGCACAGTTGGGTGATGTGGGTCTTCTCGCCAGTTGGCCAATCCTTCTTGACAGTCATCAGCTGGCAAGTGAAGATGTGTTTGAAGAGGCCCCAATGGGGATGGCAACAGAGGAAATTCTCGCAGAGGAAGATGAAGGCTGAGAGGTAGATGATTGCGTTTGGGGGAAGATGGTGGAGTTGCACAGTGAAGTAGTCAAGGAATGCATGGAAGAAGGATGGGGAGGCATCGAGAAACCCCTCTCTGGGTGACCAGTAGGACGCGCTCGCCCTCCTATGGCGTCGGCTTGACCTCCCCCGCCTTCGGACGGCGCCACCCATCCTACGGGATGAGCACCCCTTCGCAGTAAGATCCTCCAGCCGCTTGGTCAAGGTGTGCAAAGGGATCCAATCCCCCGACGCACCTCCAGCCGTCACGCCGGAACCTGGGGAGGTGGCCTTCACAGCCTTCTTCACTTTCTCCTCCTTGGCGGTGGATTCTTTCGCCATGGATTCGGGTGCTTTGTGTGCTCGTGTGGGAAGGGGAAGCGGAGGAGCCGAGGGAGAGAGAAGGGGATCTGGGGTTCTAGCCTCTGCCCCCCAATCTTTTATATATCAAACAAAATCGCAAGCCTGATCTTACGTCGCTGATCTCTGGATCGACGACGCTTGCAACCGGGCATCGTGCAGAGGAGCCATAGCACGTGGCGGATTTCATGGGGAAATTGTTGGCATCGTGCCCCCACTTGCCCTACTAACGCACGCCGTTACCGCTTCTGTGCACACACACACAAATTCAAATCCTGAGATTTCTGGGGCAAATCGATCTAATTGATTACCCACAGTTCCTTTCCTAAGGGACACACGTCAGTCCGACTGACCATCCTCCACGGGGACCCGTGCACTCAGCCACGTAAAACAACCGACTGAAGTCTTCTTCGGGATTGCTATGAGACGGGCTTAGCGCCCCTCCGCGGGTTGTCTTGGCCCTTTCATTAGGCTCCATGGCGCATGGCTCATAAATCTGGACTCATAGAACGTCTGCACTGGCGTTCCCGTGGGATAAGGAGTGGCATCTCTCCGGAGAATCAAACCACGCGCCGGCGTCGCCCTCGAGTTTTAATGGCATGCGCTCACTCGGGCCCCAAGTCTATCTCTCCCGAGAGACAAATGAATGCCACCAGGTTTTCTCGAAGATCAACAACCCTCGGTCATCCGGGAAAACTTATAGTCCAGAATCCGTTGTGTTTTCGTCTAAGGAGCAATGAACCACGACTCGGAAACATATTCCGAGTGCCCCCGAAGCACTCGGACTTAACCGAAGGATCGGTCCGCTTGTCCGACGAAACCTCAACTGATTCGGGGGCTAATGATGAGATCACCTACTACAGGTAGGGTCAAGGACCCAGCATACGGGGCCCACCTGGAGCCCCACACCATCTTTGGTAGGTCCCTGGACCATACTAGCACTGAATGTGTATATCATGAGGTCCACTCGGACACCTCGACAACACTCGGACGACCACCCGTCACTCGGCCAGGCTACCATCACTCGGACTAGAGGGACGAAAGGACGACGTGGGAGCTACAATGGTCGAGGAATCCTAAAGTCGTCCTTAAAATGGAGTCAAGACTACCGTTACCTGTAACTGCTGTAGTTGAGGCTCTTTACACCTGTAACTGCTGTAATTAATAGCATTTAGTGCCCTGGCGATGTGGAGAGCGTGGAGCTGCGATGCACTCTATATAAGTTGCACTCCTCCTCCTGAGTCGAGGTTAAGCAATCTTTGTAACTATACCCATCAAGAAAAGCCAGGCCTCAGGGCACGAGACGTAGGGCTGTTACCTGCACCGAGAGGGGCCTGAACTCGTTAAACACTGAGTGTTACACATGCGCCGTAGCTAGGCTCTGCCCTTTCTTTCGTACCCTTTGTACTCATTGTCAGGATCGTAACCCCGACAGGAGGAGGGAGGGATTTTTGGTGGGCCATGGCAGTTAGAAACAGGCTTGTGAGCGGTCCGGACTCCCGCAAACCTCCCCACATTTGTCTCAGGTTTACGGGAGAAAACGCGTCCGAACCACGCCATGGACCAATACATGCCCGCTCGGATGACTTCCGTTGTCCGGACGATTATGGGAGGTTTGAGGGTCGGCGATGAAGATGACCTATCTTCGTATGGTTGATGTAGTGGTTTAACGTAAAATCTACACCGACTATTGGACAATAGGATGTCAGATCATCATTATACAATTGTGCACAAAATCTCTCTTTCGTTACTAACAATCATTGTCGCATGATGCGATGATTTTGTGTAAAACTTATGTGCCTACTGCACATAGTGTGTGATATTATCCCTTGAAGATAAATTACGGGCACAATCAATAGGTTTTCTCACTCTAAAATCAAAAGGCTATAAACAAAGAAGACTTCGATGTGTTTCGCATCGAGTCTTCTACTATCAATTATAAAACTGGACACCAATGGTTTGCACTTAGCGGTCGACATCAACTTTGGTATTAATTCATTCTCAATATAAAGGATCAAATTTTACAGTTCTCATCCTGCTTTCGTTGTGATCAATACAATGAATCATCAACTCGAAAAAGAAAAGAAAAAGACAAACAATCGAAAAGTCACTCCCCAGGACACAAATACATTGTCCAATTATTGAAAAGGGCATTCAGTTAGAGTATCACATTAAACAACACATGCATCAAGCTTCTCCACGAAGAAGAAACCGCACACAAATCCGTCAGAAAAACAGCCGCTTGCAATTGCTTTAACATAAGCTGTTGCTTTCTCAACTTCAAAAAGAAAAATATTGCTTTTTTTTCATCTGTCTACCAGCTGTCACATAGGGCCCAATCAATATGCGTGTCCCGTAGCTCCGCCAGGCTTCTATTTATGCTCTCTCCCATGGACGGAGAGAGGCATCCAGAACCAGAAGCAAAAGCTCACACAAAGTCACAAGAATGATGAACCCAAAGAGCCGTGTCCAAGAGTGGGAGGCCGAGCACATCGACCTCATCCCGGGGATGCCCGACGACATCGCCGTCGACTGCCTGGCGCGCGTCCCGCACGGATCCTACCGTTCGATGCGCCGCGTGTGCCGCGGCTGGAGGAGCGCCGCCGCCGCCCCGGACTTCGCCCTGGCGCGCGCCGAGGCCGGAGCCAACGAGGATCTGGTCTTTCTCATGCAGTTTGGCAACCCGGTTGCCGGGGACGGTGGGGCGCCCGAGAACACCCCGGCGTACGGCGTGGCCGTGTACAACGTCACCACCGGGGAGTGGCACCGCGAGAGCTCGGCGCCGCCGGTGCCGATGTTCGCCCAGTGCGCGGCCGTGGGCACCCGCGTCGCGGTGATGGGCGGCTGGGACCCCAACACCTTCGAGCCCGTGGCGGACGTCAACGTCCTGGACGCCACCACCGGCGTCTGGCGCCGCGGCGCGCCGATGCGGTCCGCGCGCTCCTTCTTCGCGTGCGCCGAGGCGGGGGGCAAGATCTATGTCGCCGGCGGGCACGACAAGCTCAAGAACGCGCTGAAGACGGCCGAGGCGTACGACGCGGAGGCCGACGGCTGGGACCCGCTCCCGGACATGTCGGAGGAGCGCGACGAGTGCGACGGCATGGCCACCGTCGCCGGCGACCGGTTCCTTGCCGTGAGCGGGTACCGCACGGGGCGCCAGGGAGGGTTCGAGCGGGACGCCGAGTGGTTCGACCCGGCGACCCGCGAGTGGCGCCGCCTGGAGCGCGTGCGCGCCCCGCCGTCGGCGGCTCACGTGGTGGTGCGCGGCCGCGTGTGGTGCATCGAGGGCACGGCCGTGATGGAGTGGCGCGGGGAGCGCCGGGGCTGGCTCGAGGTGGGCCCTTACCCGCCAGGTCTCAAGGCCGGCACGGCGCGCGCGGTCGCCGTCGGCGGCGGCGAGCGCGTCGTGGTGACCGGCGCCATCGAGTCCGAGGGAGGCGGCGGCGGGCACGCGCTGTGGGTGTTCGACGTGAAGTCCAAGAACTGGACCGTGGTGCGCCCTCCGCCGCAGTTCGCCGGCTTCGTCTTCTCCCTGGCATCCGTCCGCGTGTGATGAGAGCCTTCCCCGGCGCCGCTCCCGACCAAGAAGACCACTACTACTACTAGCGAGTATGTATGCATGTTCTTGAGTTGCAGTGCTTTTGCCATTGATGGATCTGAGATCCGCGATCTCATCGCCTGAGATCTGCGCTTCCCGGAAGAATCATCGCCAGGAAAAAAGAAGAAAAAAACAGGAGGCATCATCGCCAAGAAGAAAACAACAAAAATAGCTAGAGGATTGTAGCTTGTCAGATCTGTGCACTCTAGTCATCATGGTTGTGAACTTTCCTCCCTCCCCTCTTTTGCTGTTGAGACAGCCTGCCATTTCTGTTGTTGAGACAGCGTGGTGTTTTGGTTCTATGATATTAGCAATGAGTCGCTGTACATATTATTGTGAGTTGGAAGATCATATCATGTGGTTCCTCCATAGTTCTGTCCAGACCCAGTTCTGCTGCTGCAGCTCACAAAGGCTGGTACGCCATCTCAAATGTCCATCCGTTTCGCGGCTGAAGAACACACCTCTCGATGTCGATGCCGGTGGCTCGCCGCCGTCGAGCAATCATCTTTACGTTTCTTTCCATACAATTTTCAATTTTCATACTACTATCTAGCGTCCTATTCAATTGGTACTCGCCGCCGCCGCCCCGGCTGCTGAACCCGAAGAGGAGCTGACCTTGCCAGCCGATTCTTTCTACTAGGTGAGGCCTCGCACTCCACGCAACAGCAAAGCCGGCTAGCTATCCGTCCACATCCGTTTCTCCTCCCACGTCGCCATCCAAGGATAGGAACGAACGGAGTTGAGGTCGCCACCGATTATGGCGTCCGTGCTTGGCCCACGGTTTTGGACCGCTTGCCCATCTACTAGCACGCACGGCCCTCTACTGTACCGACTTTTATTATCGTGAGGGTCCTGACGCCGCTAGGTTGCTGTTAGCTGCATCCATCCATCCATCATCTTGGCATGGGCAACGTGAAATTTGCGGGGGACGCACGGGTATCGTGCCATGCTGCGCAATCCCAATGAGATCGATTGCGAGGACGATCGGTTCTTCTTCTCTTCTGTGCTACCCTACCGATTACCACATTCTCAGTGAATCTGCCAGCTTGATGTATGTTTTTTCTCATCAAGTTTGGATTGCTTTCCATGAGTGTCACCTGGTAGCTTGATGTATGTAACCCTGCTAGTATGACATACACTCCTTGTTAGACAATAGATGAGGTTCTTTTCTTTCTTTGCAACGGGACATAGGCCAAAGGAGGATGACAGGCATGATGGCGTCCGTGTTTTGTTGCTTCTTGATGCAGACAAGCTGAGATATGCAGTCTTTGTGGCGTCTGGGAAACGAACACCGCTAGTGGTTGCTCTGCGACCTCGATCCTTTCGTGAAAGCTCCAGAGAACATCCTTGGGTTGGTTCTTGCGCGTCAATACATGTTTTTTTAAACGGAGGCTAAATATTTTCTCATTAATAATTAATCAAAGAGAGGAATATAGTTTAGGGTGTGGCTAGGCCTCGTCCCGATATGACATAGTTATGTCACATTTAAGTATATCATCACCTGTTTATGGCATTTTTTTTCCTTTTTGTAGGCCTTGTCTTTTTTTCTTTTTCGTGAGCGCTAAAGGAGTTGCCCATAGCACCCTCGCATGACCCAGGCCCAGCGCGCGCCTCCCATCACTCTACGGCCGTCATCACTAACCAGTGTAGCCTAGCGTACGTAGTACTCCATACTCTCCTAAAAAAACATAGTACTACATACGATTTGTGTCGCCCCTGTCCTTTTTTGATTTTTCTTTTCCTGTTCCAAGTTTAGTTTTTCTTCTGGGTTTCTTTTATTTTTTAAGCTTTTTATAATTTTTTGTATTATAAGCATTGTTCTAATATATGTTGAATATTTTTCAAATACACACTGAACATTCTTTCAGATACGGTGATTTTCTTGTTCCAAACACACACCGAACAATTTCTTAATATATAGTGACATTTTTTCAAATGCACATTCAACTAATATTTAATATATGATGAACCTTTTCAGTTTACATTGAAGCCTTTTTCTATGTAAGGAGAACTTTTTATAAATATATACGGTGAGACTTTTACAATACACATTGAACAAATTTAAAATGTAGGCTGAACACTTCCAAAAATAAATAAAATGATAGAAGAGAAAAATAAAATACTGGTAAGAAAACCAGGGAAATGTTCATGAATTAAAAAATGTTTTTTTGAAAAAAATCATGAATTTTACAATTGTTCAAGAATTTGAAACATATTGTAGTAAATTCAAAAAATGTTCACTAATTCGATAAATGTGCATGTATTAGATAAATGAGTAAATGTTTGTAAATTCCTAAAGATGTTGGTGAATTGAAAATAAATTCCCGTATATAACAAATTTTCACAGGTTCAGAAAATGTTCGTGAATTCAAAATATTTTCACGGAAAATTCAAAAATAGAAAATATGCATATTAGTATCACACCAAATTTGAATGTTTAGGATTGCAAAATAGAAAATAAAAAAAATAGTGTCAAAGAGCAAAGGAGAAACAAGAAAACCATATTATTTTGTTTTTCAGTCAACTATACATTTTAAGGTTTTTCTTTTTTCTTGTGAGAACAAAACCATACATATGTGTAATTATGTTTGGAACTGAAAAAGAACAAAAAAAACAATTAGCGAGTTATTTGATGAAGTAGAAAGATAGATATTTTAGGTTGTCTCGACGGAAAAATATCGGGCCGAGTTACGAGTCGAGGATGCACTTGCAAGGGAGGTAAAATAAAGGGGTTTGACCAAGTTGCAAGTTGATGGTGACTTTGCAACTAAGGAAAAAATGGTTAGACCCAGTTCCGAGTCAATGGTTGACTTGCAACTCGGACAAAAAAACTTTGGGCCTAGTTATGAGTCAAGGGTGGACTTGCAACTGAAGCAGAAAAATAGGAATCGAGCTTGGTTGCGAGTCGAGGGTAGACTTGCAACTAAGGCAAAAAAGGGTCGGGCCCAGATGGAGCCCAGTTGCCATTCGATTGTGAACCTACAACTGAGACAAAAAAACTTTGGGGTCAATTGTGAGTCGAGGGTGGACTTGTAACTAAGGCAAAAAAAAGGGGTTAGGCTCCGTAGCGAGTTGAGGGGGAACTTGCAACTGAGGCAAACAAAGGTTGGCGCCAGATTGAGACCAATTGTGAGTCAATGATAGACTCACAACTAGGAAAAAGAAATATTCGGGCCGAGTTGCAAGTTGAGAGTGTACTTGCAACTGGGAGAAAAATTGATCGGTCCCCCCATTGCGTATAAAGGCTGGAGTTGCAACAAGTACAAAAATGGGCCAGGCCCCCAATTGCATATTGAGGATGACGTCAACCATGACAAAACTGATCGGGCCCCAGTTGCGTATCAAGGATAGACTTGCAACTAGGAAAAAAGACGGGCCCCCAATTGTATATTGGGGATGGAGTTGCAGTTGGGACAAAGAAAACAGTTGGGCCCTAGTTGCGTGTCATTGTTTGGACTTGCAACTGGGACAAAAACATGTGTCATACCAATAAAAGGGTGGGTCCAATTGCATGCTAGCTGGGACAAATTGGTCACCAGTTGCGTGTCGAGGGTGGACTTGCAAATCGGACAATATGGTCAAGCGTAGTTGCATATCGGGAGTGGGCTTACAACTGGAACGAAAAAGGTGGCCCCCTCAATTGCTTGTCAAAGGTGGAGTTGCAACTGGGGTAAATTTCGTCGTCCCCTCCCCCACCCCGAGTTGAATGTCAAGGGTGGGCTTGCAATTTCAAACAAAAATGGTTAGGTCCCAATTACGTAACTAGGGTGGATTTGCAACAAGGACAAATAAAGGGTTCCCCTAGTTGCATGTTATGGTGTGAAGTTGCAACTGGGACAAAAAGAGTCAGCGCCCCGATTGCGTGTCGAGGGTGGCCTTTCAAGTAAAAAAGACGGGGCCCCAAGTTGCATGTCGGGGTGAAGTTGCAACTAGGACAAGAAAAATGGTGGGCTGGCCAACTACATGTTGAAGTGGAGTTGCATCTGGGACAAAAAGGGTTGGGCTCTGAGTTGCGTGTCAAGGGTGGACTTGCGAGTGGGTCAAAAATGGGTCTGGTCCTAGTTGCATATTGAGGGTGAACTTGCAACTGGGGCACCCAAATTACATATGAGTCTGGAGTTGCAACTAGGAACAAAAATGAGTGGCCCTGAGTAGCATATTGAGGGTCATTTTACAACTAGGAAAACATTGGACTAGGTATCATGTTGGGAGTGGAGTTGCAACTGGGTGAAAAATGGTTGTGCCTCCCCACCAGAAAAAGGTTGCATGTCAATGGTTGACTTGCAACTAGGACAAAAAATGGTGGGTTAATACGTCCATTTTGCATCATGCTTTTATATCAATATTTATTGCAGTATGGGATGTTATTACACGTTATGTCACAATAGTTATGGCTATTCTCTCTTATTTTACAAGGTTTACATGAAGAGGGAGAATACCAGCTGCTGGGATTCTGGGCTGGAAAAGGAGCAAATATTGGAAACCTATTCTGCATAGCTCCAAAAGTCCTGAAACTCCAAGAAAGTCATTTTTGGAATTAATAATAAATATTGAGCGAAAGAAGTACCAAAGGGGGCCCACACCCTGGCCACGAGGGTGGGAGGCGCGCCCTACCCCCCTAGGCGCGCCTCCTACCTCGTGGGCCACCTGAAAGCCCTCCGGTGCCCATCTTCTGCTATATGAAGTCTTTTACCCTGGAAAAAATCAGAAAAAAGCATACGGGACGAAACTCCACCGCCACGAGGCAGAACCTTGGCGGAACCAATCTAGGGCTCCGGCGGAGCTGTTCTGTCGGGGAAACTTCCCTTCGGGAGGGGGAAATCATCACCATCATCGTCACCAACGATCCTCTCATCGGGAGGGGGTCAATCTCCATCAACAACTTCACCAGCACCATCTCCTCTCAAACCCTAGTTCATCTCTTGTATCCAATCTTTGTACCAAAACCTCAGATT